TGTTAATCTTCAATTTTCCTGGTGACCAAATTTTACTTCTTACTGCTTATTTCACGCACCTGGAAGATTTTCGAGATCTAAAACATGTAGGGATGCACAATATTATCAGCATGGTATCGGACGATATTAGCGATAAAGTTAAATATCAGACACCGGCCATTCCATCAACAACAACAAAAAAAAACACCAATATAAAAGGCTTCTGTTTGAAGTTTAATTTTTAATTGAAACTGTCAAGTATATCTAATAATGCACTACTACTTATGTGCTTTCCACTTGCCACTTGTGAACAGGTTGAGTTTAGATTTGTGAAAATGTACATATTTGCACTGTTCGACTGTTGTCATTGTGTTAGAGAGAGTAAATGTCATGAATAAATTTGACATTTGACATTAAACATAATCCAAATTGAAGTGTTACATCATTTTTAGCCTCCTTTTTGGCATCTGCATTTGGTAGCAGGCCACAATGACAAAGACCGTGCAAAATAATGTTGTATTATAATTCCACAGGAAACTAAGCTATGTATTCTCTGTAAGAAGGTGTAGGGGGGAAAAAAATATCGGCACTGGTATCGGTTATCGGCCAAATAAGTTTTATCATATCGACCAAAAATCCCAAATCGTACACCCCTAAAAAAATGTAAACAAAACAAATTCAAAACACTGGCTATTGCCAGTTTTAGCAATATTGGTATTTTTATTTAATTATTCTAGCGTTTTTATTGGTACCCACCAACCCAACAGAAAACTACAATGTTTGTATTTTCTTTTTACAGTTTGAGACAGAGTAGGGTTAGTTTATTGGATGTTCAAGTTTCATAAGTTTTTGTTAAATTCATCATGCGTATTTAAAACCCACCCACTCTGCAGCAATGCTATCTCAATATAAATATTTTTCTCACACCTTATTGTGTCAGAAGCTTGACCTCACCTGAAGGTAAAACGTCCTGCTCTGTCGGTGCAGCGGCTTCGTAATCTCTCGTAGACGTGCACTCAGTGAACTGGATGAATATACTATTTACTGTGTTTACATCAGCCGTCTGCTGCTCAGGTGGCCGGAGAATTTAAGTGCAACCTTTTATAAAGTGCCGTACCAGGCAGCCGAGTGAGAGGAAGGACCACCAGTCATTTCTAACTAAACAGTCTACATAACCCCAGACCTGGATTCTGGGGTATGCTTGGGAGCAAAAGCTGCTTCAGGCCTGTTTGGTAAATATTTCAGACGTGCTTAAGCCTATTCTTCTGTGAAAAGGCGGGAACCTGGTAAGTTCCCGCTAACTGGAAAATATTTAAGCTTTTAGATACATTTTAGAGGTAGAGCTAATGAACCCCACAAACCTGACTTTCTTATGTGTATGCATATCTTGAAGCATTTATGTTTCATTTAAATCACTAGTTTGATGAGTTGATTGACAAGGTATTACGTAAACCTATTTCAATTCAATTCAGTGTATTTATATAGCGCCAGTTCACAACGGAAGTCATCTCAGGGCACTGAACAGAAACATTCACATACATTAAAATCAGGACACGAAGGAGAAATGAACACACAATGGCAGGTCCAGGATGGAGGCCATCTAGTTTTTCACTATGACTATAGACATAAAGACAGAAATCACATGTTAAGAAAGAATCATTTCAAATACAAACTATTCAATTGTATGCATTTGTAACTATTCGTTTGATGAATTGAGGTCAATTTGTCCTCTAGTAGTCTAAGGTTATGGCAGCAGAGGATAAGGAATAGGTCAGAAAGCCCAGCCGACTATAGGATTTATCAAAAAGGAAAGTCTTAAGCCCAGTCTTAAAACTAGACAATGTGTCAGCTGTATGGACAGAAACTGGAAGTTGGTTCCACAAGAGAGGAGCCTGATAACTGAAAATTCTTTCTCCCATTCTGCTTTTGTAAACTCTAGGAATCACAAGTAACCCTGCTGTCTGAAACCTAGAAAAAACTAATATATGTAGCAGAGTTGTTTGACTTTACAATCATATTGAATTTGTTCTCCATATTGCGCCAAATTGTACTGCAAGTCCTGAATGAGTGAAAGTATTTAGAGAAGCAGCTTTTGCTGCATAGTGACCGTTCATGCTCCATAACTCTTCGACAGCGAGGTACTCCCTGCATTGTGCTTTTCAAGTTAGCGTCTTTGATCCAAATGTTGGATTCTAATCTTCAACCAGAACAAGCTAGGCTAATACGTAGACAGAACACTTTCACGCTTTTACTTTGTGATGTTTATAGCTATTAAAATAAAGTGGTTTAGACCTCTAGAACAAGAGTTCACAGCATGTAGCTGAAAATAAAAAAAGGGTTTTATTTTCCCTTGGAGTTCAAAGTTGACACATTTATCTCACTCTGTCAAAAGCAGAATAAACTTGGATCTGTTCACCAGTGCTATGCTTTTGTTTAATTAGTGTAGAGATTGAGCAACTGGCTGTGAACTTATTTATCTTCGGCCAGGTTTTAGTATTTTAGTCCCGTTGGACGTAGAGACTGAATCGTGCTGCTGAAGTGACTGATTCAAGTTTCCACTTTCCCAATGTAATTTTGTGCACATAAAATGTAAACTGAGGTTTTTAGAGTATAAATATGTTTCTCTGAATATCTGAAAAGCAGCCCCGCCGTTGCACTGGAGTGAGTTGTGCTTGGCTGTGGACGCTTCTGTGAAAACAGCTGTGGTGAGCTCCACTCAACTCGGCTGTTGCTGTGCTTTTTTTTTTTTTTTTTTTTTTTTTTAACGAAGCTCGTTGTGCTGTTGACAGAATGATTTGTTTGGGTCCGTGCAGGCCAGTTTGTGAACTTAGCTGGACAGCAGTTAGCACACCAGGCAGTGTATTTACTCTTATGTTAGTTTTGACTTCAGCGTAGGCTGCTGCTGCTGTGTGGTGCTAACTTGGATGCTTTGACGGTACATGTGAAGTGTAGCAGATTCTCAAACTATATCTCTGCCTTCACTCATATGAGGAGCCTGTCACTGTTACTGTAGCAACCTAGACAGCCCGTTATAACCCACTGCACATCTTTATTGATCATGTCTTTCGCTATGAACTCCGTTATCGCTCAAGTTATTTCCGTGTGCCGATTTGAATTATGTTCATACGGAGTAATAGCTTCGAACAGCTCAGTCAATGATCCCTGTCGGCTGGTACTTTGCTTACTTGAAGTTGAAGCGCTGGTCGTTGGCATTCTAGCCATGCAACTATTGTAAATGACTTTGTGGTCTTTTTTTAAGTGTTGATAAAGATTTGTGGTGTTACCTCGAGAGGTAGCAACAGCAGCAAGACAGGTTCTACACAATACAGGCCGATGTCTTCTTGTTTTATAGCTAAAATAATTCAAGACAACGGACGTGCTGCCCCTCTTTGGTACCAAACTTTCAGATGTGTCAGCTTCTGTCGAGCCTGACACCATTGTGCAACCAGTTAAAACGCAGTGTTGACTTCTCCCGCTCCCTGCTCTGATTTGCGCCGCTCACTCACAAGTCACGTAACCAGATCATGTGACCAGTCAAATCGCAGCCTTTGCAATTAAAAAATCTCGTTTTATCATATCACGATATTATTGCAAAGGCAATTAATTGTTCGGCCCTATCTCCCCTAGTTGGTCAGGTTAACCTTCATTTGGCAGCTAAAATTTACCTGATCTGATTGTATAGATGTGCTGTGATTCTCCACAACATTATGACCATTTGCCTAATGACTAGATTGAGTTTGTTCCACTTGGAGAGCTCTGAGCAGTTAGATTGTGGACAAAGAACAGCTGTGGGAGTCCTGGAGTGTTTGGCACCAAATGTTAGCTAGAGATACAATTCATTTGGGGTTTTAAGTGAGGTGGAATGGGATGGCTGTCAGACCCAATTAGGGTGGCTTCTATACAGTTTCAAGGCCGAGTTAAAATTGTTTGTTCTTTTGAGTGGTTTTTTTTTATTTTATTTTTTTATAAATTTTTAGCTTTTTAAGATTGATGTTGTTTCTCTGATGGGTCAGAAGATTAGTTTATAAAACAAAATGACACTTATTTAAATGTAGGTTTTCCAACATAAAACTTAATTTTAAGAAAATGAGCGGTGCTGCTGATTCAGCAGTCAGTAGTTGTAATTTCATAGGCCATCAGTATCATTGTGAGACGGAGAGATACATTTAACAGGCTGTTTAATTTCATTCACTCAGTTTAGCCACCTAATTTTTGTTTTTATAGAATATATCCATTTATACATTACTTTTGTGAATGTGAAAAGTAACTGTCGAAACAGGAATGTATTTTTTTCTCTGCAATTGTGTTCAAATGTAAATGTTTTTGTTCCTCTTTAATTGTGTGTGCGCAACATTGTGTGTACGATGGAGGCTCCTTCCTCTGGTATCCTGGTGAGAAGCTGAACAGCTGGCCGTTAAGCAGCTTTCACTGTACACCGAATCTGGAAGCCCCAGTCATGATCTTACCCACCCCCCATCCCACACAAGCCCATCAGAAATGCTGTGATATTGAATTTGTAAAGAATGACGGTACTACTGCAACATGGGTGGGGTGGGGGGGGTGGGGGGTTGTAACGCCACCTCAGCTCGCATATCACAGCATGAGCAGATCTTTGTCCCTGTCTTTTAACAGCTGTGCCTGTACTTCACGCACACGCACACCTCTGGATAAATGTGACCACATTCGCCTATGGGCACCAGGCCATCTGTCACACACAGACTGAGAGATCCAGCCCTCATCCCACCAACCTAATATAGTCAACTGCAGCAGCAGAGCACACTGGGACTTTTCCTGTACCCACAACACCAACTTCAGTCACACTTTACAGTACTTAAGAGGCATTAAGACACGGTTAGCTGAAAAACAGAAGCAAGATCCTTGATTTGATTCATAACTTATACATTCACTGCTGTAGTGTGCTGTTTGTAAAGGATGACCATTACCAGATTTACCAGCTTAGATCACTGAAGGAAAATGCTTTTAATGGTGTGACTTCACTTTTGTCTTTTTATGTTTTCCAGAGTGTTGTCCGCTGCCTGTGGCACCCTAAACTTAACCAGATAATGGTGGGTACCGGGAATGGACTGGCCAAGGTATACTATGACCCAGTTAAAAGCCACAGGTTTGTTGGGTTTTCATTTAATTTTCTTGTAATAATTATATTTCTTATCTTTCTGTATGCATGAAAGTTCACGTGACCAGATTAAAACCCACAATAAACCTATTATGTCAAAGAACTGATGCCAGGAAATATTCAGTCAATTTTTGTTTGTAAAATTGCAATTGAGATTGTTGCATAAAGAATGAGCAATCAAACTATTTCAGGATGAACTGAAATTGCTGCATTATTGAAAAAGTGTAAAAATACATAATAAATACAAAGAATGATAACTTTTTAATTTGTAAAATGACCATTTAGACTTGAAACATCTAAATGGAGAAAAAAAAAAAGTCATCTTTTGCAAATATTCAGAATATGAATGTTTATCTTTTTATTGAAAGGCCAACTTAATATTAATCTTTCCTATTTTATATTTATTTTTGTTACAAAATTGTTTGCTTAGTGAAGGTCTTACATTCAAATGATGCAAATAAAATATTTTTCTTAAATCTGAGCATACAAGAATTTTATTTGCTGCATTGAATTGTTTTCTCCTGCTCTTACATTATTCTTTCAAAAACTTACATATACAAAACTTTATTTTTAATGCATTGCATTTTTCTGTAATAACTTTATTTTTGTTGTTATTGGCTCTAAATAGATAAACTTGATGAAAGCTGAAAACATTTGAAGTGATATGAGCTTAAATATGAAAAACTCTTGGTCAACGGGATATAACGAGGGAACTCAGAACATAAAATATTAAATATTTTACTTTCAAATTTACAGATATTGCTCACTTTAGCTCGCCTGACATTGTGTTTTTAAATTAAAGATGATCAGTTGTCCAAGTTATTTTAAATTAAAACACTAAAATAACAAACAGTTTATGAACGATAATTTCTGCTTTTTTGTTTATAAATATTTTCATGTTTTTCTGGATGATTGAATAAGACTAGTAGGTAAAAAAACTAACAAACAAAAAAACAGTTTATCTCCATAGTTGCTAATTATTTGCCAGGATGGTAGAATAATCTAAATAATTACCCTAAATATTTCAAATTAGTTCTCAGTTTCTTTTATTTTGAATAAAAGTTAAAGAGCGTTTCATGATATTGCAAAGCTTTTTTTTTTTTTTTTTTTACTTACGACTACATGATTGTTTAAAATGTGATATTGTTTTTCTTCAAGGGGGGCTAAACTGTGCGTAGTAAAGAACAAGTGGAAAGAGAAACATGCAGAGGCACTAACACAAGATTATGTCATCACACGTAAGTTCTTTCATATCTGTACAAGTCACACACAATGTTCCCACTCATGTTTATTTTCTATCACATTTAACTTGTCTTCACTCCGAGTCTCTGCTCTGCTCTTCATGTGATGGCTGATACTGGTTCAGCTTTACTTTTACTTTTGCCTTGGTGTGCTGTATTTGTTTCACGTACAAATATTCAAACCAGTTCACCTCGTGCCGAGGGCTTTGTATTATGAGTGTGGTCGGGCTGTTCATTGCCCCATTAGCTGATGGAGTGGGGTCTGGATTATTGAATCAGTAGCCACAGGGCACCAAGCCACGCGACCGTCGCGTGGCTTCCTGTCATGCAGGAATCACGCGAGGGACGACCTTCTCTCCCACCTCTGCTGGCGTGATCCTGCTGGTGTAACCGCACACACAAACCTCACTTCGCCCAATCATCATATCGCCAACTCATGAGCGCATCATCTCTTCGGTGCGTGCCTCCTTCACCTTTGTCCCCCTCAACCAAAACCACGAACCAATACGACGAGAGCAGCTGACTGCTGAGACCCAATCCAGACGCAATTCATTGTTTGGGCCTCTGCAACATTTTCAGCTGCATCATGTGAGCTCATCGTCATGCCAACAGGGTGTAAAATAGGCGAGCATATCCACGCCGCAAGCGGTGAGTGACGCACTTGATGCCCTGGCATTGGAAAATTAGAAGAGACAGGAAGCAAGTGATGGCCCATTGAGAAAAGCGAGGGAATCTGTTAACAGTAACCTTTTTGCTTAATGTAGCATGGAGAAGACCAATTAACACAGAGCGGCGAAAGAGCGCCTGCATGGAAAATCACTTTATCTAGCTCTTTCCTAAAGTGTCTCATTGTAAACCCCCCCCCACACCCCCGCGAGAATAAGGGCAGAGCATATTCACTTCCCAACACATATGCTCTCACACACAGATAGTCTTTCTGACACTACTTGGAGTGCACTCATTCACACCTAATCACACACACCCCGTTCGTCCACTCACGCGCTCAGAGATTTAGGCGCGGGGAACCTTTGTTATGATGGTGTTCATGACGGTGTAAAAATTGGCAGCTTGACTGTCCGAATCTTGATTTGTATTGAATATCATAGTGAGCATCATGGCAGAAAAAGCCGAGAAGAAGCGAGATGTTAGAGGAGATCGGCTCGGTCAAACTGCTGCTGCTGTTTTTTTTTTGTAGTTCTAAGAACTGAGAGTTTAACAAAATGAGGAGTGCAGGCATACCAGAAAGTTTAATGTCCACATGTAAATATGGTTTGCTTCTTGACTTTTCCATTCTTTCAACGTATTGCATTACTTTTTATGTGAGTAAAATGTCTAAAAGGTTTTATTTTCTCGCAAAGGAGGCACTTCCAGTGGATTTTCTTCCTTCTTTTATCCACATTGGCATTAGATACATGTGCATTATGCTTATCTAGGTTACTCCAACTTGTGCTTTAAGCAGCTGTGTAACTTTGTTTTAGCCACCACTTTTCCTAAATGAAGCATTTCCTATTAAATGTAATGTGTTGTCTGAAGACATAAGCACATTTAAAACATTAAAGTATGTGAACAGATTTCAGAAGAGCTGCAAAATCGTAAACACAATAAGGTTTCTTAATTATAATCTTATTTTTAATTTGTTTTATAGAAGTAGCATGCACATTATTTTTGAAAGAAGCTGAGCTTACCTTAAAAAACAACAAAGAAAACTCAACTCCTACATACAGTTATTCGGGGAAGACATTTACCGGTATATAAGGGAAACACTGAACATTTTTCTAAGTACTCGACCGCTTACTTGTTTGGCGGTGTTATAGAATCCTATTTACTACGGATGCACGATATTGGATTTTTGGCCGATAGCCAATATGCCAATATGTTAAATCTTATTTGGCCAATAACCGATACCAATACCGATATTTTTCCCCCTTAACCTTACAGTAACTTTCTCTACTGTGAAATTAAAATACTACATTATTCTGCACGATTTTTATCAATGTGACCTGCTGATAAATGCAGATGCCAAAAAGGGGCTGGAAATGATGTAACACTTCAACTTGGATTATGTTTAATGTCAAATTTATTCATGACCTTTACTCTCTCTAACACAATGGCAACAGTCAAACAGTGCAAATATGTACATTTTCACAAATCTAAACTCAACCTGTTCACAAGTGGCAAGCGCATAAGTAGTAGTGCATTAATAGATATTTAACTTTATCGCTAATATCGACCGATACCATGCCGATAATATTGTGCATCCGTACTATTTACTGCGGTAACTTGAATATGTTTGTTTACTTTGTGCTTGTCTAGCTCACGCCCTGCCCATGTTCAAAGAGGCCCGACAGAGGAGTACAAGAAAACAGCTGGAGAAAGACAGACTCGACCCGAAGAAATCCCACAAACCTGAACCTCCTGTGTCTGGACCAGGTAAAATGTTCTTTTATTATGTCTTTATATATCGCAGACAAATATTAGGTGGCTATGAAGAAGAAAAGATGAAAATAAATAAAATGAACACAGTGACTGTCTGCGGTCACTGTGACTGGGAAACAACTTATTTGAAGGGGAAAAAGCACAAATACAGAGAAACACTAACGAGGTATGGTTATGGACAGATGCAAACTTTTTTAGACAGATGTGTTAGTCTGCAGTTGTTGGTTCAGACAGTGTTGGGCATGCCAGCTGATGCTGAGCTCCATCAGTACTGCTCTAACTCAAAGATCCACTATCGACTAACTGAGCTGAGACGTGGGTGATGCACTGTACCACCATTTGTTTTCCTACGTTTATACTTTAATGCTCACTTCTTTACACGCTGCACCATTTCATGATTACAAACTAAGTTTTGTTCCATAAAAAACAGATGCCCGATAACATTTCTCTTGACAGTGAATTCCAGCTGACTCACTGCAACAGTGTTTGTGCTTTCATTTTCTCAGCTATTTGTTTTATTTTGTAGTATTTTATTCATTTAAAGGATCAAAATTATTTAGTTGCAACAATGTAAGGTTTCCATATTGATGTTATTTTCTTGTATTCTAAAAAACACTCATTTGAAGCATTTTAAGAGCATAACAAGCTAATGCTAATATAAGGAAGAGATTTAGATGTGTACATGTTTTAGTTTAGCATATTCTACTTTATCAAAATTAATCATGTTTCTACTCGACTTTAGAATAAATTGATAGCTTATATGATTTAAAAGGAATATATAAGTTTATTCTTTTGTTTTAACAAAAACTAAATGAAAGCAATGGTATCCTTATTCTATAGAAATGAGTGAGGTAAGCAGCCAGCTGCCACAAATTAAAAACACTTTTGTACATACTGAATTTGTCTATTTAATGGTCTTGAGCATTTGTGTGTTTTAATTAAATAAAGTGGAAAGACGTCAAAAATTACTTTAAAGAGGCCATTCTTGACACCTATCAATCTAGAACGAGTTTTAATGGCATTTTCCAATAACTTGGTGTCCATTATTTACAAATGGAAACACTTTAAGACAGGTGGGAACATTCCAGCAAGTTCCCCTTGAAGTAAGGCCATGAAATGGTCAAAAACTGTTGTTAAAAAAAAAAAAAAAAAAGAAAATCTTGGACTCTACAGGCGTTAACTTTTAAGGTTCACACGGTAAGTTTAAAAGAACAAAGAAAAAAATGGCTGAAATATTCAAGTCTGTAGAAGAGGTGTTGGTTTACTGTCCCTTTTGGGGGGAAAAAAACACCTCAAACTGTTAAGCACGGTGGTGGAGGGCTGATGGTTTGGGCTTGTTTTCTAGTCACAGGAGCATATTACAGTCAACCATAATCCCCTTCATGTCATCGTAATGAACTGGAGCATGGCCCGAGTTAGGTTAGACAACAGAACAGTTATCCCAACTACAGCATCAACTCTACAACAGAGTGGCTTAAAAAAAGAAAGGGCCGACAACATGATTGTAATGTAGTGGTGGGATTTTATTGGAGTAGTGCGTAGACAAATACTTACAACCCTCAGTAAATTGAACGTTGTAAAGAAGAGCGAGCCAAATTCCTGGATAAAGATGTGGGAGACTGATATGGTCATGCTGAAGCTTTTGCTGCCACAGGCGGTTTATAAACTTTTAAGAGTTTCCTAATTTTATTACACACTGCTAAATTGTTTTGATTACCAAGTTTTCTAGACAAAATGGCACAAATGGTTTATCTGAAACTGTGTTTAGCTCATTTAAGACCTCATAAGTACTGTTTTTTCATCATGTATCCTTGTGCCTTAGAATTTTAAAAATATGTTTAAAAAAATTACTATTGCCAAAATAAAAGCATTTAATTTTATGATTAGAAATGTTGTGATTGAATTTCTTTTGTAGTTGCAGGACAAACCTTTGCGCTGTACTGTATATAAATATCAAATCCCTTTTGTCACTGAGGTTTAGCGGAAGACGCTTATTAAAATGATGGTTTAGTTCATGAAAACGAGTCTGACTTCTTGATAGAAGACCAGTGGTCCACAGATTACAGACTGCATTTACATTGTTTATCTTGTGTGTGAACTCACGTCACATAAGTGCAAGGCGATGCTTGATGGTTGGCTGGATGCTTACAAGCAATGGAAAGACGTGTCTCTCCATCCCCAAACAACGCTGAGCAGGTTTAGCAAGAAATCAATGTGTGTTTTAAGTTTAAATTATATCCTTTATTTATTTTTTTTTAGGTTTGGATATGTAGGAAAGGAGCAAAATATCTCCAAATCTGATGGAGTGAAATTCAACTAGCAGCACAGACGGCTCATTCATTCATTGTAACAGTGTATAATCGTGTGCTCTTACAGGCCGAGGAGGCAGAGTAGCAGCTCATGGCGGCACTTTGTCTTCATTCATTGTGAAGAACATCGCCTTGGATAAAACTGATGACAGTAACCCCCGAGAGGCCATCCTCCGGCATGCCAAGGAAGCGTCAGAGAATCCTTACTGGATCGCTCCAGCGTATAAACAGTAAGAGTGGGGGGTGGAAAACATTTGACACATCTGTTTCTGTCTTTCTCTCACTCCCTTTTTTTTTCCTAAAGTTGCCTCTGATTAGAGCACAGTGTGCGATGAGAGTTGGGATGTTTTTTTGTTTACAGTAGTCCCTCGTTTATTGCGGGTGTTAGAGACCACGCCCACCCGCGATAAGTGAAAAAACGCGAAGTAGGTGCACAGTAGTTCAAGTTCAAGTTCAGTAAACTTTGTCATGACATGTGCCAGGCTGCATTCACACTCCTGTTACTCCCAATCTCCCTCCTTAAATAAACAATTTAAATTTAAATACTGTAACATTTTAAATAAACAATCCATGCAGCATGGATTGTTTATTTAAAATATTACAGAATTTAAATTGTAGAGAAGAGCGGCAGGACATTAAAGGGATGTCACACAGCTCTTCAGTACGGAGCAGAAATGTACTTCTTGATCAATTACACTTCAAATGAACAAAGAAGTTCTAAAATAGTTTTAAAATAACTTTTAACACTTTTATCTTTTGTGATTATGATGATTTTACCATGTGACATACTTTGAATTTTCAGTTGGAAGACAAAAGTCGATCGGTGCATCTGGACAGCAAAGGGTTAAACCTTCACAAAGCTGCAGCAGGAGAAATGTGTGTGCGTGGCAGAGAAGGAAATCAGCTGCAGGAGGGAGCTTTCCCTTATACTTGTGGGCTGCACACATGGTGCAAAATCATTTAAAATAATTTATTTTAAATAAACACCCCATGGCTCATCCATCAATCAGCCAATGGTGCCATGTCCGATTTTATTTTGAAAAACCGCGATATAGCGAATCCGCTTTAAACGAACCGCGAAGTAGCGAGGGACTACTGTATTCTGTCTGATATGATACTCAGGAACAGTTTCACAGGTTGATCTACTCTGTAGATTAGTGTTAAACTCAGAAGTGTTCAACAAATCTGTGAGCTAAAAGTCAGTTTTATAGACCGCAAGAAAACGGTCTGTGTGTAAACATGCTAAAGATGAATGGCACTGTGGGTAATTCACATCAGATATGTAGTTGCATAATTTTCTCAAAATGTGAATAGTTACTTATAAAGTTTTTTTGTTGATCTGGAATTTTCTTAAAGAAATACTTCAGACATTTTTAAGTGCAGGAAAGGTCACGAACAGTCAGTATCTCACCTGTTGCAGATAACTTTTGTAAACTCCTTCAGCTTTGAGATATTGAAGTTAATTCTGACTTGATCAAGACACGTTAATGGCTTGTCTAAACAGGGCTAAAACCACAATAAACTAAATAAAAAATAAATAACTAAATAAATTACTCTTCAGAAATGCTACAGCTAGCTGCTAATACTATTCACTATGAATTTTGTGAGACCAAAGTTGTTTTAAGTCAGCAGTAATCCACTTTGGTCTTGGCCCAGCTCAGACCAGCTGTTAGCCCGCCAGTCCAGTCAAAATTAAAGTCTATTCCTCCAAACTGAGGCTGTGCAAAGAGCTGTCTACAGCAGGTAAGATGCTAACTGTTTATAACATGTCCACTGTCCACTAAAAAAGTCTGAACTGTAGCTTTAAAATTCAGGCAGGAACTGTGAATGTTTCACTTGTTTTAAACTAAATTGGTAGTTCTATAATTGTTTTTTAATGAAGTCGTGTTATATATGAGAGTTTTCAGCTCTGGTTCGTTATGACGGCACTACACGAGCATTAAAAGTCTGAACTACTGAGCAGTTTTCTGCTCCATAACAAATCTGAACTTCATTACGCTTCATGTGATCTGTAAAGAAGAGACCCATAAAACTGTATGTATCTCACTTTTAATTCATTGCTTCTCAGCTGGATGTGTTTTGTTTGTTTCTGTTTTTGTTGTTCTTCGTGTTGTTTGTTTCTGACGCTGTCAGAAAAAGCAAACAAACTGTTAAATCATCGCTCGTTTCCCTATAGGACCCAGCCGGAGCCCATGTTTGCAGAGGAATCCGACGAGGACGAGGAAGCCGACAAAGAGCCAGAGTGGAAGAAACGCAAAATCTAAAACGCGTCCCTAACGGCCTCTCTTCAGTATAAGCCTAGATCCTTATTTTTATCTCTTTAGTGTAAAGAAACATAAATCATGCAGTTTTATGTTCCTCTCACTCCAATACATGAGCCACTTCACGGTTTATGTCTGTTTTGATTGTCTTGACTGTATTTTCATAATTTCCATTAGTCTGAGTTTGCTAATGCCTCGTAAATCAGCTCCACATTCTGTGGTCTGGTGCAGTTCGTCTCCGTGAAGAATAGCTCGCAAACAACCAAAGACGTAATAACATTTCAGCAAGTTTTGAAGTGGGAATATTTTTAAAGCTGTACTTTGAGTTGTTATTGACAAAACCTTTATTCCTCCTCTTCCTGTTCCTATCACGGATTCAAGCTGAAACCCTGAATAAAGGAATGTAAATCTTCTTGTCCGATAGTGATTTTTAATCTGAAGTGAAGTCAAATCGGTTTTACCTGCTGATCAAAGGAATGCCTTTCCTGTGAGGCACAACCTGACGGTGCGTTGTCCAAGCTGTTTTTACTTACCGCACTTTTAAACCCTTTTTTCTCCACACTACACATTATTTGACTTAAATGCAGCTGAAAAGTGGAGCGATTTCTGCTCGTCGTAAGTTTTATTTGACTATTTAATCTAAATGTGTTGGTTCATCTGTAACCAACCAGTTCTTAATATGATTTCTTGTTTTCAAAGCTAAAAATAAACTCGAAAGTTTGAAGAGGAATTTGTCGATCGACCTGCGCAGCGTCTGAAATTCTTCAAGTGACACGACAAAGCCACAATATAAAGATAATGAAAGCCACGTTTGTGTTGTGTGTATTATACATCTCTCTGGAATGCAGCTTCAGCGCACAACTCTTTACTGCGAGCACATTTTGTTTTTGCAAGCGTGTACTTGATGATTGTCACTGTTGTAAAAATCGCTGGTTTGGACTTGTGCCTAAAGTTATAGGATTCTTTTCTACTTCAATTGTTTTGACTTAGCTTGGTTGCCAGATGTAGTTGACATCCTCAATGGTGAAGGAACAAAAATATTATCCACAGAAAGTTAGTTTTACATGCCTCAGCTGCTGTTTTGTTGTTTCTCCTCGTAGGGAAGAAACTGAAACCCAACCTCTCCCTGCAGATGGAAACGGCGGTAGAATAGTAGAAACGCTTGCGTCCTTGCAAAGAACTGTCAGTGATAAAAGTGAAACTAAGACAGCGGCTTGAACAGGATGGAAATGGACAAACTGGTGCCGGTTTAGTGATTTGGCAGATTTCAGTTTGGTTCGGTCAGGATGGCTGGCTGCTCCAACTTTATGTGAAAAAGCAACAGGTCGATGAAAACGAGAAGAAGAAAAAAACATCGCCTCAAGCTTGAAACCTTTAAACGCTCCTTATTAAAGGCTCAGTTCACTCAACTTACAGAAAATCTCCCCATCGCCCCGATCCATTGTGTTCTACCTCTTCTCAGAAAATAAGTGGAGACTTTAAAAAGTAATTTAGAAATTCTGCAGGTTCCTTTTTAAGGATTATTGCACATGTCACGTTACAACAACTTGTTTTAATTTGTGAGGCAATTTTTAGGTTTAAAATAGAGGAATAAAGTTGATTCAAGTCACTCGGCTCACGTCATTTCTCAGCACGGTTAGGTGATCTATTATTGAATAATAATGAGCTATAGTGCTTTAATTAATAGAAAAATGGGTAACACTTTACAATAATTTGATTAACTACTAGGGAACGCTTCAGGAACAAATCAGGAGCTAATGGGTAGTTAACCAGCACTTACTGGAGAACACACAGCCAAGCCTTATTAGGGGACTACTGATTTGTTACCACAGGAACAAACCAGTAGGTAATGGTAGGCCTGTCACAATAAACAATAAAGAAATTAATCGCATGATAAATTAAAATGATCTACCTCATTTTATTTTATCGGCTTTATTGTTTCTTCGTATCTCTCTCTTTCTACTGAAGACACTGGATGACAAAAAAGGATCAACTCCAGTGCTCTTCTCTGACCCTTCCCTTTGTCTGTTTCCTCTTTTTTTTTTTTTAATCTATTTTTGGATCGTTAAAGCAGCTAAGCTGAGAAGCTAAGCTACGAGCTAAGCTAACAGGCCGACCTCGGGGAAAAAAAACTCCATCTTGTTGAAGCTCCAAAATTCACGGTTGAAACTCGTGCCTTGGTGTAAAAAGTTGTTTTTCTCTGCAAAAAGAAGCTGAGAACTTGTTTACTGATTTTTTAAATTAAAATCTTTGTGGAAAAATGTTATGCTAAAGAGCCCAAACCACGCCGAGCGTCTGCCATTTTGAGAACCGGAAAAAAAGAAGAGACAGCCCGCTGTCACGTCAAGGGGCCTCCCTCCCATTTTTCTTAAAGAGACACGCTGCTCGCTCCCTCACTATCCATCCTTCGGTTCAAACAGTCTTATACTGCCGTACAGTGGTCAAAAAAGGTATTACACTCAAAACAAATTAACCAAAATGTCTTCTTAAATTAATTACTGATTACTGTCGAATTGTAAACAATATTATCGTTTATCGCAATAATTTCTGAGACAATTAATCGCCCAGCAAAATTTGGCATCGTGACAAGCCTAGGTAATGGTCAGGTAGTGATTAAGTACCATAATGACTGGTTCTTCAGTAACTACTTGGTATGATGCATCAGTGAACAAAATAATAGCCATGAAATGATTTGGTATCAGTAAGTGATAGACATAGTTAAAACGACACCAGTACAAGATGATAAAATTGCTAATGTCTTTCATCAATGGTTTACCAAAGAGAAAATCCAATAAAACCACTAGGAAACAGGTTTTTGATAATTACGAGCTGTGACCTCACTGGTGCAGGGTTTATTCAGAACCCATGTGGAGAATTTCTCCTTTGTTTCTGGTAACAAACCAGTAGTCCCCTAATAAGGCTTGGCTGTATGTTCCCCAGTAAGTACTGGTTAACTATCCATTAGCTCCCGAGGCGTTCCCTAGTAGTTAATCAAATTTTGTGTACCTTATTGTAAAGTGTTAGCGAAAAAGGAGTCAAAGCATTAATAGAGAAATGAAACGCTCCTCTGGTTTGGTAATAAAACTAAAGAATAAGCTGCTGATTTATTATTTTTTGACCAAGAAGGCAATAACTGACTTTATGTTTATTTCTTCTTAAAAGATGTTCTTATAGGAACAGGTATCTCCACATAAAATAGCCCGGTTTATTGAAGATATGCAAAAATTAAAAAGGAGGACATTTTTTTATAATGGCATTATATTTACCTTTAATGTTAATTCCTGAAAAACGTAATTTAAGAAAACTCTTGATTTGTTTGTTATGATGCAATTCAACGTGCTTATTCTCAAATCCTTCAGCCTGATGAGTGTAGACTCATGTCTGTGCTTTTTCACATTTCGGCCTTTAGCTTTTACGCATCTTTATTTTATGTGCAGTGGAAAGATTCTGCAGTGCCGTGATTTACAACGCAGTGGCACTTTACTGCTGGATTTTGTTTACCGTACGAGCCTGGGCTCTCGTTCAAGAATCCAGAACAGAAGGAGATGCCACGCCGAGGAAGGCCACATCTAAATGCTCGTCCCGGCTTTCCATTAAACCTTTTTTGTTTTTTTCTGCACAGTTTTGTTGCGACACTTTATCTCCCAGGGAATGACCACCATGTTGCAGAAGACGTGTTCATTTAATAGAAACGAGTTTAATTCTGTAAAAAGATATAAAATGGATATTGTACAAAAATAGTCTGCAGAGAGCTCTGAGTTCTGTAACACAAAACAAATCAGACAACACAAGTTTTTTTCTACAAAAGTGAACAGAATGACCACAAACCCTTCTGATATTTTAAGCCTGCAGGTTCCTTAAAGCAGTAAAGCAGACGGTGAAGATCTGAGGTCTTCACGTTCTCATTGAGTTGTTAAACAGGATGATTCAGTTGATGAGGTATGCTGTGATAAAGGCTGGAGTATATTTTGGTGCGTTTGGCCTAAATTCTGCTGGATGCAGTGGATTTGATCTATGCAGGGGGATTACACAGTAAAGCTGGCTTGCTTGCTCGCTGCTGGGTGAGCACAGATACCTTGGTCCCTAATCCGTGCTAACATCAAGACCTACACCAGGGATCTCTTTGTTCCACTTATAACGACCCCCTCGCGGGGGGGAAAAAAAAAAAAAAAAACATTAACCGCTGCTTTCCTTTCTTGTTCATTCAATGTTTTAGTTTGGGAATAAAATCGGTTGAACACGTTGTTACAAGCAGAAAACATCAGGCTCCAGATTTTCCAAAACACTCTCTTTTGTCGAAACGTCTGCGTCAGTCGCGCAATGACAGACACTACAGTAGCTAGATCTTTCTTAAACCATTACGCCGGCGGGGATTTTTCTGGCTAAGACTAATGTTAGAGGATCACTTTCAAATCGCCTTTGAGGGAGTAAGACCTGTCAATCAAAGCCCAGACGGAGAAAAAAAAAAAAAAAAAGGCTGTCGTGAACTGGGATAGAAACCGCTCCAAAAGCCATGCTCAGACCTGGTGCGAGGTCAGAGTTGGGTTTCACTGAACTTCTGCTGATTCTGTACTAAGTGACGCGCAGGATGGATCCTCAAAGGCACTGCTGGATCCAAGTGAGACCACCAGGGCATTCATCTTCATCTGGAGTAACAATAAATCTGACCTGGATTAATAATACGATGATGAGCTGGAAGCAAGGAATCGTTTTCGTCTTCATAAACAAAGAGCGTAATAAATGAAGGGTTTGAGTTTGGTGTTTTGAGGAGTGAGGGAAAAGCCGCCGTTCCTAAAAATGCTCACAAGCGACTAATTTATTGTACTGGAAATCTTTCATTGGTCCCATCCTTTGCCTTTTCACGTTGCATATACCTCATAAAAGGACTAAAACTGATCATTTGGATGTTTGAAGGAAAAAAAAAAAAACCTGTGGAATCTGATTGCCATGAAAGCGCATCAGTTGGATGTGTGGGAGTGTTTAACTTAGAAAAGCTCGCACGAACAAAGAGCTCCTCCTTGGCACCATCCAAGACAAGCGAAGCTATTAAATAAATAAGAAAAAAAGAGTATTTCTTTCATAAAATGGTTTGAAATAAATAACAATAAGTTAAATCCATCTTAATAAATATACCTCTAACACATACTTTCTTATTTTTTCATATATATTTCTATTTATGTATAGATAAATGGTGTAGATGCGTTGTGCCAGTCTTTGCTCTCGTGTCTTGACTCGAGACGGATGAATGTCGACATCCAGACTGTGGAGTGGAAGTGATTTAGGATTCAACCGAGAGAACTCTTCAAAACCTCGAGATTCATCTGGAGTTAGCCAGCTGTGGAAAAACCGAGTTCCTGGGAAATGAAATCCTCCTGCGGCACCTTTCTTCACTCTCACCTGTTCCTAACGGCACAGTTAGCAATCTGAAAGTCTACTGGAAGTGTGTGCACACCTGATAAGTTCATTCAGGTTCCTGAATAGAGGACTTTAAATAGTCAAATGTGCAGTTTGCCTTTTTTATGCTGACTGTGTACTCCACTGTAACTTCCATTTGAAAACAGCTGACCAGAATATGAAACAACTCTTTGACTTCCCATACAAATGTCCAACCGCAGTCTGTCCCTGTATAGCACCGGCATGTCAGTGGGATCCGTAATTGGCTGCTGCTGGTCATGTGACTTCCTTAAACGCAGCCGCACTTCCTAGCCGAGTGCTTCTTCAGCGTGTGATACACCACATTATCGTCCAAAAAGGATAAATCGTCATCGAACGCGATCGGTCGACAACAGGTGCGAGAAGGCGTGTCTTTGTCCAGCTTTTTATTGTGTGTGAGGTTGTTCAGGATCTTGTCGTAGTTGGTCTCCGCCTCGATGCAGGGGCCACTGCAGTAGCGGAAAATCAGCTCCTCTTTAGTCTGATACCCCAGCCCCAAATCCGTCACGTTTAGGTGGACCTCCTTCAGTAAGCAGCTTCGGCTCTGTACAGATATCCTCTCCTTTCCCTTCTCCCCTCCACCTCCTTTGCCGCTCCGACTTCGGCCTCGCCCCCTCCTCTTGTCTCCGTGCCCTCGCCCTTCTCCTCTGGCGCCTCTCATCTTTGCGGCTCCTTTCTGCCTCGGCTCCCTCCGGCCCCTGGGGCTCGTGCTGGGCTCCGATGATCTCCGCAGCCGGCCGATGGTAGCCTCGATGAAATCCATCACATCCTCAAACTGCTCAGGATAGAGACCCGCAGATTCATCTAAAAAAACAAACATAGATGATTTAACACACAAATTCACATGAAATAGTTTTCCAAAACGTCTACTCTCTTGTCCTCAGAAGTACTTTAACTTGTCATCTCTTGTTCTGAAGGTTAGAAATTTAAATATTACTATGGAGATACAAACATATTAATAGTAGTAACAGCAAAAGAAGGGTGTGAAAACGTTGTGCAACCAGGAGAGTTTCAACAAGAGAACATACAAAAGTATTTAATTACAGTAAAGACCGTCATTATGACGGAGAAGGGTGGCGTTTTAAATTTGGGAAAGTCCGTTTCCTGTGACAAATCAGGACACCACAGTTGGTCCATATTTTTATTATCACGAAGGGCTAAATTAAAAGATGACCACGTTTACAGTTTTTCCAATCACTTCTAACTTGCACCCAGTTTGACACGTATCAGCTGAATAAGAAGCGTCCAGTTCATTTGTAAAAGTAAATTTAACCTCGGTTTTGTATGAAAACATCTTTAATGATATCAGTTCATGCTCAATAATCCAACATTGTTGGATACGTTATCTGGATTATTGAGCATGAACCTTGATGTCTTGAACCACTTTAGCTGTGGCAGCTTGGGAGGAGTCGAGGGGGAAGAGGACAGCCCCCAGAAACCATCTTATCACCAGCAAACTGGTTGGTCCACTAAAGGAGTGTACTATTTAGTGGGGAAAACTGTTTGTTTGTGACTCCTCAGGCTGATGAAGCCATTCGGATAGAGGGCGAAACATCTCTCAACAAATAAAAGAAACTGTCCAGATGACCTGATTGAACACTGTTGGATCTTTAAAAATAGTTTGCACCTTTCAAAGCTCTGCTATGGAAATTGTGTGGATTATAGTTTTGTAGGAGCCACTCTTCTTGTTTTAGCCTTTATTCCAAACAATCTGTATCCTTTACAGAGATACGAGTTCATTTAATCTTCAGAACCTCCTTCGAGGACGGCTGCTGATTGGTGGGATGTGGTTGGATGAGTCAGAGTGTTAACGGGCTTCCCTAACAGTAATTATGAACCATAAAATTAAAAAAACAACAACTTAAACAGTCAAAAGAGCAAAGCTGCTGAAAGCAAACTTTGTTTTCACCAGTTTTCTTTTTTTTTTTCCTCTTAAATTTATGAATCAGAACCACACACCCACCCACTTTGAACCAGGCAATTCTTATTTCAAAAATGTCTTGTTTTGGAACAAAGACTCATTAAATGTAGTTCTTAATTCATCCACATTATTGGTTTAATATGTCTGCATGTATCGTAGCTCTAAAGGACCCCTCCCCTCATATTTTAAATACATTTAAATAACACTAGAGGGCAAATCTGAACACTTTGTGCTTCAGCTGGTGTCACTTCAGATCTGAAAACATGATATAATTTGGCTGCTCTTATTGTTTTAATCATGACTTTTTTTATATATAAAAGCCAGCAACGACAAAGTAAAACACTGAATGTGTGGCTTGTTGATAATGCATAACATTATGACCACTAAGAGCTAAAACCTACACTTTGGTTGTTGAATAGATGCCATTTGCACTCGTATAAGTCAACATTTTTACAAAGATATGACCCAATAGGTCAATCAATCTATGAAAATTGTTGGTTTACATAGAATTTTATGGTTCTTGTTGAACTAATAGCAGCAGCAACAGATAGCTGTTGCACTTCCAGTGCAGCTTTGGGCATTTCCTAAATTAATATTACAATAATTGCATTATATGCAAACCTGAAAGCAGTGTAAAGATTTATAAAATACCTAAAAAAAATCAAGATAGAAGGTGTTTTAGAACAACAGCAATCCAATTTGTTCATTATGTTCTGATTAGTTCATTAATCCGGTGAGAATTAACCTGCGTTTTTTTCATAATTAGCTGATCAAGGAGCTATCTGCAACAGGTAAGATATTCTTTATTCATAGCCGTCAAAAAAAATCCACTTTAATGGATTGGAACAATTATTTTAATGTGCAAGATGCACTTCCTTTTGAAGATTCAATCATTTATTTGTCTTCTAAAAAAAAACAATTCAGTCTCTCTAAGTTTTTTTTTTTCCAGGCAAACAAAAAAAGACGAGTGTTGCTGTGTTGCTACAAGCAACTTTGCAATATTTCTTAATAATCGGATATAGAATTATACGTTTGAACATTGTTTTTATAAATCCACAATCAAGAGCATATTGGTTTCTTTCCCCAAAACAACTTGATGAATGACAGGCAGGGAATAAATAACCTGGTGGCCCGTCAACAAAATAAACTGATAACAATAAAAAAAAAAGGAACAAAGAACGGATTATTCTGAAGTGGAGAAAGCAAGATTTGGAGAGCTGTTCTTATGCGTGTGCAGGAGTTCTGTTTTATTTCTGTTTGGACTATTCAGGACATTTAAGCCATATTAGAGTTATATTGGAGCCAATTAGAGTTAAAATAAAAGAAAACAGATTCCCATTACATAAAACTGGAGTCAATCAAGTTAAACATTCCAGTCAAAATTATTAACCTTTGACTTAGAAACTGCCTGACATGATCCACAACACATTAACAGATAACACCAACATGGGAATCTGTAGCGGATGTCTTTATTTTTATTTTATTTTATTTTTTTATGTGTAGACCTAAACGGTTAAAACGAAAAGGAGGAAATCGTATGTTTCGAGTTATTTAGATGAAACAGAATGCAGTCGGCTAAAATGTGAAAATATGCACCAGCACGGCTCGTTGCCATCTGCTCTGAGGAGAAACGAGGAGTGACTGAAAGTCTTGGACCCTCCTGAGCTCCATGTTGATTTTGTTAAAAAGTGACGTCTCTCCTACTAGAAGTGCCTGCAGGGCCTCCATTTAAAAACGGCTTTTTTTCTGTCACGAGTCAATTGGCCAGATTATGATTATGTGACCTGTGTGTGTGGGCTTTGTGTCAGAGTTTGGGTGTGTGTTGACATGTTGGGCTGGTTAAGATATCTGGCAGGTGGTGTGGTTAACACGGCCTCTGTGCTACAGTGTCACCGATCTCTTCGTCTTTACCTCGGCTATCTGATCTGCCTGAGCAGCACAGCTGATCGGGCTGCAGCTCGTGTATCAGGTGAGCCTGGACCAATCTGTTTCGACACACCTAGCCTTTGATTTGGGCACCTTCTATTGTGCGTCAGCTGAAAGACAGACTGCCTGTGCACACCTGCTGACAGGCTGTTTAGCTCGCAACAAACGAGGTGCAAATTTTGCTACAATTGCACAAAGTCGAACGTGAGCGCTCGTCTTTGTCTCCAACTATTTTCAGTCAGATCATCTGGACGGTTTCTTTTTTGGTGTTTTGAAGCAGTTTGACATGACGGTCGACGAGGGAGAGGGCGTGCCCCAGAGACCATCTTAGCACCGACATAACTGGGTTTTTTTCCACTTTGGTGTAGGCTGGGGCCTTCTGAATGGAAGCGCAAAATATAAACCATCCAGATGACTCAATTGAAAATTGTTAGATTTTATACCAGGATTTTTGAGCATCTCTTTGTCTGTTAGCAAAATATCTCAAAACCACTTGACAGATTTTAAATGTGACCTTTAGGTGGATATCTGCAACTGATAAGCTTTTGGAGTCATCGAGGTTCAAGATGGCCACCACAGCTAATCAACCTAAAAATGACTATAACTCATTTCATATGACAGATTTCACACAGATGGCTAACACGTAATGATCATGCAAGGTTTTTCTTTAAAAACGTTGCTGTTAATTGTTGAACTCAACTATATTTGTCAGCAAAATGCCACATGGATCACTGGATGAAGATTTATAAAACTCTCAGAGTAATTATTGGATGCTAATCAATCAATCAATCAACTAATCTAATCTACTAATGCTAATCTACAACGGACAAACTTTTGCAGATGGCCACCACAACTAATCAACTTTAGCAAACACAAAACACTATATTTCAGTCAGTTTTATCGATATTTAGCTCAATTTTAATGTTGTTAGTAGCTGAGAGTCATCCCCAGCACATACTTCGTGCTAACTGATGATTGTACAGATTACTTTTTAAGATTTGACCAATAAAGCTAAGATGCCATTATACAGTGACCCTAGTTTCAACCTCTGGCATGAATAGCAGCAGACATTATGTATTCCTTCCAAGAAATGTGATTCTTTTTATTGATTTTGTTCCTAAAGTCTAAAAGTAAACAATGTTTTTCTTTGACGTTGAGCGTTAAAACAAAATGTCATGTTCCTTCTTCTTCCTAGTGCATAGTTAATAGGTTTTGCTTGCAGAGAGATGATGTCACTGTGCTCCAAACACGACATGAAGTGGCGGCACAAACACTTGCCCCAAATGTTCCATTCCTTATCTAGTTCTCGGCTACGTTCGCTTCTGTGCGAGGATGAAACAGTGTCACATGGATCCAAACAACATAAATTCCTGCCCACTGTTTCTGTTCAGATGGATGTAAACACAGAACTCTCGCGGATTGTTTAAGCCTGTGTGACCCGGTTCACCACACACCTCTAAAAACATGCCATGATTTCTGAGTTTTGGCAGATGGGTAAAGGTCACGGGTCTCTGAGCGGCGGAGAGGCAGAGGTGAATATAAACAAAGGGAGACAGGGAAATGTGAAAAGGGACGTCTGTTCTTATTCGTGTTGCTGGTTTGTTTGGACAGCAGCATGATGTAACGCAACACATGCAGCAATAAAACACAAATTAAGATACATTTGCTGTGCGAGAGCCTGATCAGACCACAATTATCTAAGCAAGAGAAGCCCTGATTGATCAGGCCTTTAGTTAACAAGATCAACTTAAACAAATGCGGCGTGCCTTACACTGATCCTCCATGGAGATCTCCTGCAGGTTGTGGTCTTCACGCTGGAACGATGACTCTTCCTCTTCAACAGAATCACGATAGCTGCTGGGGAAGGGAGTCCTCTTGGCTGGCGGAGAGTTTTGGTAGAGAGGTCGGGTGGCAACAGAGCTCAGGAGCAAGAAACATGTGGCCAGAACATCCCATAACTTCATCTTAGACTCAGTTCCTATAGAGAAAGCTGCAAAATGAAACAGATATATCTTTTTTTTTTTTTTTAAAGGTACTTTATTTGAAAAAATGAGGCAAAACTTTCCCAGAAAACTGGACAATTTTGCATGTGTTCAACATCATGTCCAGACGAAAATCTATAAACACAAAATATAAAGAAACTCTGATCCAGAATGCAGACATATGCGCACAAATTTCACGATTAAACCAGATTTAATTCCCCCCAGTTGTCTCAAATCACTGTTCTTTGATAGCAAGCTTCTGTTTGCAGTGCGGCGCGGAAGGTGCGCCTCGCACAGAAATGCCTCGGGTAAAGCACCGAAGCGTTTTGGCAACGATAGCCTAAATAATGGTGAGAGTTGGCCAGATGGCGATCCCCAAAGCTTACATGACTGAGTCTAATGGCATGTTGAGTCTGCAGTAAACCCAAACAGCTACGCATGGGTAAATACAGGGCTTATAAGCAAAAGTCCAAATCCAAATTTGTCTTTTTTTTCATTTGGCATAATATTTTGCGTCCTCCTGATCAATCACATTAATGCATTTGTATTTAATAACCTGCAAACATGAAATATCAAAGAATTCTTACCTTAAATATGGCCCATGCAGACCTACAATTCGCTTGGTGGTGAAATCCCAAAAGAAAACTCATCGAGTGTCCCCAATTGACTCAAGCTGCGTAAATAATTTCAAATCCTCGACAATGAAATGTCCACACGAGTTCAAAATTAGTCCAAATAAGGAAAAGGAAAGGAAGGAAAAAACAAAAGCTGCAACAGTGGACCAGAAAGGTTTTTTTTTTTTTTTTTTCCCCTTTGGTATTCCGAGCAGGCGCACCGAACAAACCGCGCGTCTCTCCGGACTCTGGAGTCCAGGGGCGGCTCGGCGCCTCCACAGCTGCGCTCTCTGATGAACTGGATGCTACGTTTCCACGTTGGAAATCCGAGAGAGGGCCACCATCTCGGACTGAGAGGAGTCCACTGAAGACATCAGCGTCTTCAACAGATCAGAAAGAAGACATGCACACACAAAAATCTGTTTTCCAAAAACGCTCCTTTATCCACAACGCGTTAAACCTTCAACATAACCAATATTTTACGCTTATCTCGTCATGGTGACAAAAAACAAAATAAAACAGAAACTTGGGGTAAATATTCTCCATTTTTTTTTCTCCAGGTCAGTCTCTTTGTGGGTCTCCGCACGTCGTTGTCCTCATATTGGACTCAAGAGCAGGACAGATGTCTGCGCAAAGCACCGCGCCGGGCGCACAGGGCTGTTTTGGAGAGATTTATAGCACAGTGCGCACTGACGTTTGGGGGGTGGGGGGTTGCAGTGTTGGTGTCCGCCCCCTCTTTTATAGATCCCCGCGAGGGAGAGCAAACAGTGAGTAAAACCGAGTTCTTCATATCTCTCCAAAGCACCCCTGGGGCCTTGTTTGGAGGAGCGCGCTTTTCAGATGACTCTGGGATTATGTCACGCATCCTGATGTCCTCGGATTAGGTTTCAGAATGCGGAATGCGATTTGGAGATGTTCTGTTGCGGTGCGCATGCATCTAACCCGATCTCCGCGCGCCGTGCGCCTCGGTGTCCGGTTCCTTCTCGTGGCTACACACAGCTCGACTGCAGGAGTCCCACTTCGCCTGCTATTTACGCGTGGCAACGCGCGAGCTTTTAAGGAACAGTTGAAAGTTGAGCAGTTGTGCACCTGAGAAAATCTTCCTGCAACACTTAATTCCACTTTTTCTTTTTTATTGTTATAAACGCATTTTGTGTTCCTGCGCAAAGAAACCACAACTTATCCAAGAAACCCATTGAATAAAAGGATGGAAATCCTCGCCCTGACACCTTAAATCCACGAGGACTTACCTGTTACTCAGTGGCACTAAAGCTCACATTTGTTTGCTCACGATCTTCTCCAGCCGTCCTGTTAATACATGTTTCCTGTGAGGCCATTCGCGTCTGCACAACCCTCATGGTATGGATCAAGTCCTCACATGGTTTTAGCCATGACGTCACGGCGTCTGATCAGATTTGACCTCTTTAATGTAAGAAAAAACAAACAAACAACAACTAATAAATAAATACTTAACGGTTTGTAATTTTTTTGTTTGGATAAATTCATTTGCATTGATATCCTGAGATGTCACGCTCAGAGTGTGCGTAGTGAAAGACTCTCAGCTACTTCCACGCCCAATTTTAGCTCAATATCTCTAAAATGGACAAAGTTGTAATCATTTTTGTATTGGCTAATGTTGATTAGCTGTGGTGGCCATCTTGCACTGGACTGATAGCTATTCATACTTTCAGAAAGTTTAATTAAATTTCATCTAGTAGTTTGTGAGATATTTTGCTAACAGTCAAACAATTTTGACTCAAACAATAAATGCAAACGTTTTAAGCAAATACTTTGTGCAATGTGAAACACTTGTGCTATGTTGTGAATGTCTCTCACTCAAATTTAGCACAATATCAGTCAAATTGGTTGAATTAGCCATTTCTGTGTTTTCTAAAATCAGATGGTTGGGTCAGCCATCTTGACTTAGACTGAGCCCAAAGGCTAATCCTTTAAAGAGGTATAGATCCAGCATTTATTTCCTGAAAGTTTTATTAGAATCCTTTCAATGTTTCATAAGATATGTTGCTAACAAACAGGCATACAAACACGCACAGACACAAGTAGAAACATAATTTGCCTTTATCTGGCAGGTGATAAATACAGTCATAAATGACTATTCAGAAGATGTTACAAGTTCATGGTCAAATGTTTAATTCCTACAAGGAAACCTCTTTTACTGCCCAATGATGCTTTCACTCAACACTTTAATTGTAAAACCAAATGAAAAGAAAAAAAAATCAGTTTGTCTCTTTGTTCAACAGGAATAGGACTCGAGCAGTTTTGTTGTTACCATGCTGATGCATGCTGGGATGGCCTCAAGGCTCTGCACCATCAAAAACAGGCACCTGCAGGTGAAGAACTGAATGAATAAAGTCAGCTTGCACTCTGTGTCAACAAACACATCCATGACATTCAAAAGACTAGAATAAAAGACTGACAGCAGAGGAAGAGTGTGTCAACTTTTCATGTTGATTCCAGAAACTGAGAAGTAAAAAAAAAAAAAGTAAGAAAAGAAAATCAAAAGTTACAGAACAAGCTGTGGAGTAATAGCACATTTTGTTCACCCATGCATAAATAGAATTAAATTATTACACAAATATTGGTGTAAACCAGAGGTGGACACTTTTTTTTTCCCAGAGGGCCACATCAGGACGTTTAAAGCGATCAAAGGCCCAAATAGAGAACTGGAAAATAAAATTTTCTTTATGACAGATAATCTAGAAGTCTTTTGTTTCAGGCTTTGTCTTGTAGCATAGTTAGCATGCTTTATAAAACATGTCTTTCCAATATCATTTAGGAATAAAAGACATATTTGGTAAATTGGCTCTTGCGACAATATATTATACATGTTAGCTTAGCATGTTATATGTGTTAGCTGTTAGCAAAAATATGCAAAACAAACTTATATATTTGTATTTCTAAGTCTTTAAGGTTTGGTTCTGGAAACACATATTTTTTTAAAAGTTTTGCGTAAGATGTTTAATTTAAATTTCCTCAAGTCTTCTTGATAAATTGCTGTTTTTAAAAAAAAAATGTTATTTGTTTTTTTTACTAAGTATAATGGGGGCCTGATGGAGATTGTCCAAGGGCCACCTTTGGCCCTCGGGCCTTAAGTTGCCCACGTCTGGTGTAAACGATTTGTTTATTCTTCATTTTATAATTTCTCCTCTATGGGATGACTGTAACAGTCAGAATGATTGCATTATCTCTGCCAGCCTGTAGTGTTTTATTTATGAACAGTATCACTGTTTACTTTAACTTGATGCTACATTAGGAGCATTACATATACTGTGTGTGAAATATATTTATGGACTTAAGTCTGCAAACTTCCTTTAAAGTTTTAATTTTTATTAGAAAGCTGAAGGAAAACAAAGTTTGTTTCATGGTTTGAACCAGCGGGATACTCAGATTTAGGTCAGTTTTAAAGGGTTAGTTCAATTTTCTTGTGTGTGTGTTATTAATAATCAATATCTTACCTGCAGGAGAAATGGCTCAGGGCATTGTCACTTTGTAGTACCAGGCACACAACCTCTCAGGGGAGTCAAGTTAATGGCTTTTTTGGGCTGGGCAAATTCCTGCCATCCTAAAACAACTCATTTAACACTTGTTAAAAGAGTTGTAGTTCATGCAGATGTTGACTTATAAACCTTTCAACCACATCCATTTTTTTGTTTGAGGTCTTATTGCATCAAACTGCAGAACAGTCCATCCTTTCTGGTCCATCTGAAGCCTGTGTTGCCAAACAGGATGTGTTCCAGTAGTACTGCTGTGCGAAAAACCAAAATATTTACAGCCTGCAAGCCAATTTTCTTCTAATGATTTTTATACTTTCATCAGGCAGCTTTTCTGCCACGCCACATTTAACACATTTCATTTTGCAACACGTCTTTAGGTCTTTATGTCTCAGCAGCATTTGAATTAGCTGATAGCTCGACTCTCCTGATAGAACCTCTGCTTGAAGGTCCAAAGTGATGATGCTCTGATCAGCATCTCCTGCAGGTAAGATACTGAATACTTATAGGTCCACAGAGCACCAACTGAAACAATCTAAACAGTTCTTTTAAGCAAAACTCTCCAAAATGTGAAGGCCTAAGCTCTGAACCTCATTGGTTTTCTTTGTCTTTTAAAGCGGACACTCAAAAGTAAATCTGAACAATTTACCGGTAATTAAAGGAAATGAAACACAGAAAAAAGCTGTTACCCTATTAGCTGCAGCCTCTGCTACAATAACTAAAACAAAACGAGTATGAATTTAAAAAAGCACAACCCATTGGTTTGGAATAACCCCTGGGAATTTGTTTACCGACGTGTGCATCTTTTTTAAATTCTGCATTCGTTTAACAGATTGTTTGACATAATAAAATGTATTCAATTAAGGATGGAGTAACTGTTAC